ACTCCTGGAGGATGTAGAAAATGCAATTATCCTAATCCTTACAGCGCTGAAGCTATCACCTTGATCCTCTGCTGCTAATTCTGTTACTTTGAGCCTAATCCTGCGGATGTTATCTGCTGGTCCGGATCCGTTAGTGCATGCTGGTAGCTGACTTAAGGTGGCAGGGAAGAGAAAGGGGAAGATTAGTCGGGGCAGAGTCATGACGTTGGTATGACGCAGATTGGGGGTAGGAGAGAAATGGGACCAACAAGCTTTGAAATGGGATTTCTCAACACTGAGCCAATAATGTTGTTCAGACCTTGTCATATATAAACTGTCTGATCCCAGAGCCCCACCCACCTCTGAGGAAATAATGTAGAAATTCAAAACAAAAATTTTAAAAAGCAGTTACTGGACAATTGGGATGAGCCTCAGCTACTGGTATTACTGAGTAATTGCTAATAGTAATTATTACATTTAATTTATAGGTTGAACTACACAATAGGACATTTTTCTTAGAGTCAATAAAAAATAAGTGAACAACTTATATTAGATTAGAACTATCAAAGTCTATCATAAAGCATTAAAGTTCTAAGCATGAAGTATATAATGTTATGAACATGACATTGTGTTTATTCCATATTTAGGTCATTAACATTTAATAAATCATACAAAACAGGCCCATAATTATAATCCAGATTTCTCTCCATCCTAATCAGGACTCCTTTGTTTGACACTATCTTAACCAGACAAGCACTTCCAACTCCCTCCTGTCTGTTCATCGTTATCTCTATTGTCTTTGGAAGTCACTAAATGGTGCAGTTTGTGCAACCAGAAGCCCCAGGGCACACCCAGCACCCCATTTCTGCAGCATGATGGTTGGAAGTTATGGCTGTTCCCTCAGCAATCTTATTGTAAGATTACTAATTAATAACAGATTACACATTACAAGAGCATACATCTATATATTAGATACATATTGCATTAGATCCCTCAGGAGTATGCATTAATGGCTTCTATAAAATCCCAGTTATGCCTTGCAGGTAGCTATCAGTGCAGTATGGTATCATGAATTTCAGGCTATGGGCGTAATGGGTTTTTCAATACAATGTGTCGCACAAATTGAGAACACTTCTGAGGCGTTTGTTATCTATAGGTCAGTGCTATGCCATGTGTTATGGTCTTTTGAAATGAGTTAGAGATGACATGGTAGAATGTGTGAGCTGTTTCTTACAGGCAGACTTTCTATCTGTAGTTTTTGAAATGAGTTAGAGATGACGTGGTAGAATGAAGCAATATAGTTTCTAAGAGTGTTAGCAATGATAACACAAGTTGGTCAGCAAAAATCGAGGGTGTATGTGAAGACTTGTTTTGACGGTGCAATATAGTAGGCCTGCCTGGCAACAGCTTTATAACAGGGATTGTAAAGATCATCATTAAAGATCAAACTGCTCCTAAGCATCTGGTGTACATTATGAGATAAGAAGGTGATTTACAAGGACATTTTCTTCATGGAAGCAAAGACGTGATGCATTTATCTTTGTAGTGAAAGGAGGAAAAGGGCTTTCTGCTATGTTTCAAGTTTGCAGTTGAAGTAAATCTGTTGTTCAGTAGCAATGCAATACACTGTATTGTGATTTTGTGGTGGAAAGGTCATCAATAAAACCATGAAAATAAAATCACCAGACTTTTCAAGATTTACAGAAAGATATATGCTTCTAACTTCACTGTTTTAGTATATCATGCAAATGTTGTCTTTGACCAGATTTCAATTTTGATATCTGAGATATTTACAAGTACTCTATGAGTATGGTTAAGACTTCAAAATATTCCGTAATTTTCACCTTCAAGTTTACATCTTGTGCTACATGAAGTCTCATTCATGAAGAATTCGTACATGAAGAATTCATATACCAGTGTATTTTCATCAAGTGGGGTTCATCAAGAGTAGAGCTCATCAAGAACGACCTGCAGTAAGTTGAAGGAGGCTTAATGAAGTAACTGCATTAGAATTTAATCAAAGTCTGGCCAAGGTGGATTTAATTTTCACAGAAGCAAAACACATAGCATAGATGTTGACAGCTTCTGGGTTTTTTTTTCTGTCACAATGGAGATACTTAATAGTACTTCCACTGGCCTTTATTCATTTATTTGCAGAAAAGATATGGCTCATTAAAAATCACTGCATATTTTTATGATTTTTTGTTTGTAAAGAATAAAAAGGAGGTCAAATTTTATCGTCTCACTCGGAATCTAAGAAAGCCTACAGATTCGTACAGAATGGCATACTTAAATGGCTAAAAATCAGACTGCCCAAAATTCATCCCAATAAAAGCCCTTTGGCACTTAACGGTACCAAATCCTTAATAGCCCCAAACTATCAGCTAGTACCATAAGCTAGACGAAATGGCAACCCTATTGCCAGTATCCAAGATGCTTAGATTTGGATCCAGTCCTCACAATTTTGTCCAAATGTCATTTCCGGCTAACCTGTGACTAATGGTTAATACTGGTGAGCCTATAGTAATTAGTACATCATATTCAATGGCCTGAAAACAACAGCGGGTATGTCAAACCATGCAAGGAGCAAAACGTGTTACCTCAGACCTGCCTCTGCCAGCCCTCTTTGCCCACTCATCAAAGATCCCAACACCGATATGTGGACTGTGGCAGTTTCAGACTGCTACTCCCCGCGACACGCCGTTAAGTGAATTGTCCGTGAAATGAAAGCAGATTTCATGATAGACGACAAGGCGGCAGTTTGCTATTACTAACTCAAAACACCAGTGAAAACGGCCCTCATCGTAATGGAATATATGCTCCAGTAATGTGGCCGG